GCATCGGCCTCCCACATATCTGAAGGACTATGTAACCACTATTCACCAAGGACGATAGCAAGAACTTTGAGGGGAGGGGTGTTGTGTTCTTTGTATTCCCCCCCCCTTAATCCCCTATGCATATCCTGATCACCCATTAAGGGTGATTGCCTTTCACCATTGATCGCCCATTAAGGGTGATTGCCCTTCACCATTGATCACCCATTAAGGGTGATTGCCCTTCTCCATCTGCATACAGTTTCATGCCCGTTGCTGGTTGGCTAACTAGCAATAGGGTCTTGCCAGCCAATGGAATTGTGTGATTACAAGCCAGGGGAATCCCATAAAAGAGGGCTCCCCTGGCCCAGAGAGCCAGTCCGGATTTACTTTATGCCTTGCCAATAAACCAAGAGCTGACTGTCACTCGACTCGTGTCTTACTGCCTGCGCGATCCAACAGGGAACCTAGTTGAAAATCAGATATCATAATCATGTGAAGACCTTGCTTAACAACAGCAACCAGAACTGCCGGGACTGTTGTTGCTAAGTGACACAGTCATGTAATATTGCCCTTTATGATCAGATCACTCATATATAGTTTAATATAGAAATTCATATATATTACCCCAAATATTTTATTCCTAGCCTTGTTTCAATTCAGACAAAAATGCAACACTTTCTATGGAATTATTTGAGCTATAATTGAACACCATAAATAAATAGGATTTTTATACTCTGAAAGTTTTATTAATTAATTCATCATTAATTAATATTAATTAATATTAATTCCTGGTATCAGCAAAAAAGAGTGAACAATTCTCTATAAATTATTACTGCACTCTGACATTATTTTGTTAAAACAAAAGTTTAATTACTTTGTTAAGAGCACAATCCTATGCATTTGTATTTAGGAAATAAAACCTATTATGTTCAACTGGGTCAAGAGATAGTGTGTACAATTGTATCCTATTTCTGGCTAAAATAATACAGTGAAATATTTAATAGCCTACTTGTGAGGAAATTTTTATTTATTTATCAACCTTGTTTAAATGTGAAACTATACCATTACTGTAATTTGCATTGCATGATGATATTGGTATACCAATGGTATAAAATGGTGTAAATGGAATTTTTACATGTTCCATGTAAAGTCTGTTATACTTACTCTGGTAAATAGAAGTTTCATTATTGTTTTTTTTTCCTTTTTTTAGGTATAAGATAATAACATTTCTTTGCTGCCCTAAATTGCTCTGTGCTATACTAATGATGTATTTGTAAATATGTTCAATGTTCTTTTTTGTCCAGGTCTTACACACTTTAGAATCTGCATTTATTCCATAACATTTCAATATTTTTATTTTATTCCTTTATGACACATTTCTGTAAACTTATGTATGGGAAATTACTGAATCCTTTTAAAATAGTATTGACATAAGTTAAATATTTTCCATTGAATTAGCTTGGACAAGTACTTTGTGTATGTAGACAATCTTTTTGTGTGTACAGTATTTTATAGATCATAAATATTATAGTAAAATAAAAATAATTCGTTTTTATAGAATTCTTGGTGACAAGACTTGAGGGAGCTGCTTTGGATTCTTGAAGTAATAATTGTTAGTTACTACAGCTGAATTCTTTAAATATTGACAAAATACATTTGTAATATTGTTTTAAAGCTTTTAAATTGTAAATAACCTTTAGGGGCTTTGAGAGTTAAACTATGACTCAATCATTTTGCCCCTCAATTCCTAGAGGCTTTGATTTTCAGTTAATTCTTTTTTTTCATATCAACATAATACAATTATTAAATATATTTTCACATACTGATACGTATTTTCACATACATTTGAGTGCTGGGGAACCCTGTTGTTAACAATGGTAATAATTAGCAGTTCTGCAGTAATTTGAATATATCAACTCACAATTTATTCTAAACAGGTGAGATAACTTAAAATAAAGATAAAGTTTTATTTTTATCTTACTTTAGCATAAGTATACTTCAGTTAGTTTGAAGCAGGAACTATGGACCCTAAAAAGTCTCTTTGCTTTGTTTTCAGTTAGGTCTTGTCTTTCTAATTCTCCATGGAACCAAAAAGCTATGTAACTAATGCCACCAAAAGAAAGTATTAAACATTCACAATATTATTTAACAATCTTTAAAGTTTAAGTAATAATACTAGACCCTTGACTATGATTTTCCTATCAACATGAAGAACATACATTTTTTTAAAAGATATTTTTTTTCTAAACAGGTTCCCACCTTCTCGGAAAATAACTCCATGTAGAATATATGTGCAGAATTTGTACACTGTTCAATAAGCTTTATCTAGAAATAGAGCTGGATATTTTTTTTTTTTGTCTGAGAGTCAGGATAATGCTAAGTGAAAGGAAACAATCTAACTTTTCTAAGGCTTCTTTCTATCATTGAAGTTGTAAATAATTTTGCTAAATTCATCTTCAGGAATTAATGCTTATGAACGTTCTCCAACTCAATGTAAAAAAAATGTCATTTTTTTTCAAAGTGTCCTGTTTAAGTTTGAATCCTCAGTGTTTCAGTTATTAATATCATTTCTTCAGTTGGATGGTATGAAGGAATGTCATACATTTCTCCCAGGATGACTTCTCCTCGTTGTCCGCCTTATTCTTTAACATTTTGTAACTTGCCTTGGGAAATACAGGAAAGACTTTAGCAAAGCGACAGCAACAACAAAATGTTCAGCAAGTACTGACCCTTGTTCAGCCTTTCCCATTCAGATTCCATATGTGTACGCTTGTGTGTTTATATGACAGTTCATTATTTAAGTTTACTCTGTCAAAATAGGTTAAATATTCTTTGGGAACTATGGCTGCATCTTTGATACATGAAAAGCATGCTAAATATAGGAAAGACTAACCTGATAAGAAAAGCATGACAGACTGCTACCACGAAAAATATTTTGTCATTTGTTTCCTCTGATTTCTGAGAGCATTATATAAGCTGTGAAATCTCACTGCAATAAATTTCCGAGAGTGGCACGTAGCCACAGCAAATATGACTGTGGATGATTCATTCTAATGACTTGACTTCTGACCTATTTACAGATATATGACCAAGATGGGACACTACAGCACTTTATTGATGGTGGGGAACCCAGTAAGTCAAGTTGGATGAGATATATTCGATGTGCACGGCACTGTGGGGAACAAAATTTAACTGTAGTCCAATACAGGTAAGTTCCACTTCAGCTTATCCGACAAATATTTCAATGTATTTGCAATAGTACGTATTTTGTCAAACAAATATGTGTCAGCAAGCAGCAACAACAACAACAACAAAATGCCATGTGAATAGTATTTCACTGCAGCAAAAAAAAAAATGGCTTTGTAAATTCTCTTACGATAAGAAACTGTGCTTACCAGGTTGCATCTAGAGGTAAGTGATTTTTTTAAAAAAACGAATGCAAATGCTTTTGGGCAAAAATTGCACTGAAATCATATGATGATTTTCTGTAAGTATAAGAATAATCAATCACCTGAACTGGCTGATTGCATAATATCAGCTAACATAAGGAACTTCAGAAAGCATTAAACATGCTTGCAATCAGGCTGTGTCCTGCAAAAATTTTGCAATTGTTTAGAAAACAAGGCCAGTGCAAAAATAGAATTTGATCCACATAATTGAACTGTCCTGCTTTTCATTTGGCAGAGGAATTCAGATTTAAGGCTCCAATCTTAAAAATAGACTACGAACCACGTTAGATTAGACTAAAACTTCATTTATTTATAATGTACATACTATATGCATATTGATTGAAAATAACCCCTACAAGGTTCAGTTGCACTTATTCCAAGTAACCTTTGCCTATTCTTTGTCCCTCAGCAGCAACTCTGAATTTAGCTGTATTGTCCACTGATAGATAGGAAAATTGTCTAATTCCCTTTCAAGGTCATCTGCCAGTTAAGTTCCAACTGCTAATTAAACTTAGCTTGCATTTTCCAAAATGATTGTAGGAAACGGCTAGAAAAATGTATGTGTTAATGATGAGAAATATAAGTCTATAATGCATTTACGTCTGAGTTTTCTTATCTGCAAGAGACGCCACACTCTCATGGGGTAAAGAAACTAATCCTTTGAAGTTTCCCAGTGGCTTCACTGAGTGTCCAACAAAACCAAACTAAAGAGAATGGAAGAGAGGAACAATCCCACTGTGTTTATTCAAGTTTGTGGCTTGTTTATCAGACAATAGTTCTGGATGTATCTCTTCTGTGCAGTTGTGTAGACCTAATCCATTCTTGGAGAGAAAGGCTTGTGGAACACGGGCATTGCTCTGCATAGTACAGCACATGTTCTTTCAAATGGCATGTAGGCTTGAAAGGTTTAGAACTTAATTGCCTTTACTCACAATAAAAACTATCAGTTCCTCTGTGGAAAAAACAGAAAACTTTGTAGACACACCTTCTGCTAGCACCTGGTCATTAGCTATAATTATCTAAGAAATAAAGGTCAAACATGAGAAGTTGTATCTGGATGTATTTGCAAACAAAATCATCCAGTAAATGTGCTGAATAGATATATGAACTTTCAGTCAACAATATTTCCCTTTTAAACTCCCCCTTTTAAAGCAGCAAGATATTTATATCAAATAACTGTCTCCTAAATCAAAGAGCATTAACCTTAGTGTGCTGCAACGCACTTCCCACAGCAGTTTTGGGGGGCTAAAACAAAAAACTACCATATGAGCTGAGATTGTGCCCCTGTGGGCAAGGGGCCATTGAAAGTGTAGCTCACGTCCAGCTGTACTGCATCTTCTATAAGGCTCAGGGACTCAATTTATAACACCTTATCTAATAAAATATCTGAGAAACACTTATTTTTATTTAACATACTGTTATCAGATCAGTATGAAGTAGTTTCTCTGAATGTTGCCAAATTCTGCTATGCTGTATGTAAAATTAGGCAAATTTTAACTGCCCACTGTTAATCCACCACCAATCACAATATATTATTCTGTCTTTTACTTTTACTTTTTACTATTATTATTGTCTTAATGCTTTTATTTGCTGGTCTGTGACCATAATAAAGATTGATTGATTTCCCTTTTAAATTCAGAAACAATGATTTGACATGACTAGGCATTATGGCAATATCGCATGGCCAATTTGACAATTGCTATATTAGCTTCTTTGTTTTGTTTTGCTTTGTTTTGTTAAAAAGCATATACTTTTAACTTTCTTTGTATTGACAAAAACTCATTTTCACAGATGATTAGATAATAAGATGAATAAAAGTAACTTCACAATCTGGAAAACTTTCATGAATGCAATGGTCATTAGGCCTTTCTTTTTTACAACTTAAACATGAAAGTAAATAATAGGAAATTAAAGAAAAATAACATTGCCAGTTTGGGCCACTAAACATTTTCTGTAAGAAGAAAGGTTTCAGTATAACATTATTAGTAAAAGTAGGGTGTGGGTCCCTTCATGAAGAATTCATCCTAAATGTTGATAGAAACATAGACTGGTCTGTGAGTAGTTCCTTCTGTAGGGAGATGACGTTGAACAGTTTTATCCTGTGGCTGGATTGTTTTAGTTCTTGGGGGCTGTTTCTCTGAGGTTTTAATGTCAGCTCTTCTTTTAACGTGGTTTATTCTTTTTCTTTTGTTCACTGTGTTCAGACTGATTTGACTGATTACAAATAATTTAATCCATAGCAAAACTAAAATGGAAATTAATACATTGTTGTCATAAAGAGTACATTATTTACAACTGTTGAAGCACATTGGAGAGATTGTGGGATATGACAATGCACCATATGCCACATCAGCTATGGTGCTAGTGTGATGGCAATTCCTTCATCCATGTCTGCCACTCAACTTGCCTAAACAATGGAGTGTAGATGGTATGTTTGTAATTGAGATATTTTCTGATCTACTAAGACAGTTGTGAACATATGTTGTCCTTATGCAGAACCCTGTGTCACATCTGATATACTCTTAGAGGAAAGAGAGAAAGAGAGAGAGAGAGATGAATGATGTCGTACTTCAGCTTACTCTTTCTAAGAAGAGTGTAGAAGAGTCCTTCTAGTCAGCAGACAGAGTTGGTCGCATAGGAGCACTGTTCTCCCCAAATTCACTAGCTTAAACTGAGCATACTTGCAAGCAAAAAGACAAATTCTAAATTAAAATGCAGCCATGGGAAACCATTAAACATCTGTCAATATTAAACAGATCTTATAACTCCCTGTTCATTCTGTAATTGTTGCTTAGAGTTTTCTATCTTGATCTGTTTTCCATTGCCTTTAAAAACAGTTTTTAAAAAAACCTGGCATCTATCACCAGGGACTACATCCAAGTGTAAAGAAATAATAAAAAAAAAAAACGTTAGACCCTGAAAATCCATCTAATTTTTATTGTAAATGGATGTCCTCCTCACTGAAAGTCAGATGGTTTAAATTCATTCTGTTATGATTTGTAATATCTAAATGGAATTTTCTTCAAAGAGCTCTTGATTGATTGACCCTTAGCTGAACGTTTTGTTTTTATTTTGAAGCTGACAATAATGTTTGTTGGCATGTGTTCTGCTTCAACTGCGTTGGGACGCCACGAAGCTATCTTTATGAGTCATCCAACCACAATACTAAATACATGTCAGCAAAGGAAATATTATCCGAAAGAGGAAAAATCCCTTTGATGTACTTCAACATGCAGAGATTTCTGCAAGTTTTGGAAGCTCTGTGAGCTTGTAAGGAATGGTGTATGCTTACACTTTTTTCCCTCTTTTTTTGGCCTACTCCTCAGAGACCACCCATTGCTCGAAAACAGTTCAGTTCTTTCAGCACCAAAGTGTGTCATTGGGTTTTAGCACATTCATTTGCTGGGCTGCTGTGTTTATGTTAGGTGAAGCCAAACAGAGAGATGAAAAGTTACAAGGGTGAAGTACAAAGTAGACTGTATTTTTTTTTCAAAGTCAGGAGATGCGGGTGATTTATAACTCTGCCCCAATTTGATTTTTATGTAATGGTGGAAAGAATTAATAAAATGTGCAGCTTGGGTGAAAATAGTGGGAGGGGTAGAGAATGAGGGCAGGAGAGAGAGCAAGGCTTGAGTTTTTGTCAGATATTCATAGAAGGTTGGGAAAAAGCATTCTGCTTAGCCAGCAGTGCCCTCCTGAGACAGGGTGGCAGTACGCGAGGAAAGTAACAAGATAAATGAAATTTTTGCAGCTGCTCGTAAAATATTGAGAATCTGCACTTTTTTTTATTGATCTTTATGATCCTGTTGCCAAGAGCCACTTTGCGGTGACAAAATATGTTGACAAGTGCATATCTCACTGCCATGAAAAATGTGGTTAAGGATTCTCCTTATGTCGGCAGTGTTACACAAGAAACAAATTGCACCACTCTGGCCAATTTTTTACAAAGAGACTAAATTTAAGGCTTACCATCCCTGCAAGCTTTTATCTCAGACTTCAGGCTTTAAGCAATTCTTCACTGCAGGAAGCAGTTCGGATTCAACTTTTTCAAAACTCCATTTGTATCTATGCTTCACATGAGGTGGTGTTATAAATGGCCCTTCCTTACTTCTATGGCTATATCATTCTGCAGGGTGTTACTCCAGGTAGAAAGGAATACTCATCTTGTATTTATTGAATTGCTATCTATCATATATAAGGATGTTTTATGTTACTGTAACTGGTTTAAGTGACAAGCTACAATGTCAAGATAATTTTTCTTTTGGCTTCTAAATGCCTACTTTCAGGTTGGTTTCACCACTGTCTATAACCTCCCCTTATTGTTTCAGCTTGCAAGCTTCTTTCTAAGAAAATATTATATTAGCTACATTATAAAATCATACATAAAGAGAAGTATGAATGAATAAAGAAATGGATTACCAGGAAAGGTCTGCTTTGTGTAGCTCTAATTTAGTGGCCATTCCTCTGTTCAACTTGTACAAATCTCAGGTTGTGCTAAGCAATGAAGTGATAGCATGGCTTGGTGCAAGCAGATGGATTTCCTTTGAGTGGGTATGTATGTGTGTATGTGTCTCTGTATGCACACATGGAGCAAGGCAGAATTTAAATGACTTTGAAGAATTTCAATGTATAATACATACAGCATCGCCTTGCTTAAAACAGTTCAACTTTATTCAGGCTGCAAAGAAGACAAAGAAAAGTTAAGGAATTCCATTGAGTTAATTACATTAAAGTTAACTTTCAAAATGTTCAAAAATATTCACAGGAACTAGCTTCCCAGCATATAATTGTTACTGATGCTATTATTTTCGTAAAAATACACTTGGAACATTCTGACATGCCAGAAAAATGACTTTGCTGAGAAATTATGGATCTGTTGTTCAGTTTTGACTACTGTATATTAGTGTCGTTTAAAAACCTGCAAGATTATTCTGGATTCTCTGTCAAAAAAGACACCGTAACTTATTTATTATCTGTAGAATCCGTTCTAAGCCACTGAATGCTAAGAAACCAAATAGGTGCCTTTTTATGCCCGGAATATCTCATTTTGAAATGTCACATCAACTATCACCAGCTGGTGGAAGCTCTTTATCTGCCAAGCTATCAGCAGGCAAGCTGGGAGTTTCCATGATGGTATTTTTCTCCATTAGACCTCTTCAGGGGGTTAGTATTACTTTCAAAAACTGGACAAGTATGCTAGTTAGGTATTATATACTTAAAATATATTTGTAAGCAAAACATTGCAAGGTGGAAAAATATTTGAAATATATGGGTTTTAAAAATATTTTTAAAAATTGTCCTAAAAAGATGTTGAGCACTATTTAGTATCAGGCATCTTTAAATAATCTTAGCTATTACATAACTTTCTGCTTTGTTTTCGTGCTTTTGAGGGATACTAGCTACAATTTAATTCTTTATTTATAACTCAACTTCCATAAATTAAAAAAGTATATTGCCTGAAACAATACTTAATTTTCAAAAATACATACAGTAACACACTTTGACTATGCAGAGTAGAAAAGATGAAGCTTCTTCACATTGAGTTTGATTTCTGGTGACTAGATGGAAACATCCCTATAGTTTCCTTGTTAGCAAAACCAAAGTGTTTTGCCATTGCTGCCTTCTGGGATTTTGTTTTGATTTCCCTGTTTAGCCTAAAGACTTTGATATCCTAGTGGTCTCCCATTCTATTATTAGCCAATTCAGAACTTGACTTGCTTTATGAGACAAACAAGTGGTTAGCAACATGCAGCCACTTGCTGAGACCCACACATGGTATTGAACTTCAAAATGCCCTTTATGGCAGCCGTTGTATCACAATGTAATAGCTGTCACCCATCATCTATTAGCTTTCCCCATCACTTTGGTATTTATCTTCACCTTAAGATGCAGATTGATACTAATGTGTATGTCCCGAGATTACTGTTTCAATTACGAGGAATCAGGTCAGCTAGACATGTGATATCTGGGACTGCCAGAATTCATAGAAAGTTTTCACTCAGGTGATCAGGAGGATGCACTTTAATAAAAAAATATCCCGGGGTCTCATTCATTCTTTCTTTCTCTTTTGTTCTATGACCAGATCAAATATATTCTACCGAGCTTGCATGGATATTCCCAGAGGCACTGAGTTGTTGGTGTGGTATAATGACAGCTACACATCTTTCTTTGGAATCCCTTTGCAGTGCATTGCACAGGATGAGAACTGTAAGTGTCACTTTACCTAAAAATAGTATCTTATGCATAAATGATTTGTATTTGGATTAAAGTAGATCCCTGCCCTATCAATTGAACCATGTCAACAAATACGAATTTTCCACCTTCGATATGAAAAACTGTTTTGAAGGTGCTAACTACAGGAACTAATATTATGATACTACAAGACATGGCATTATTACTTACAATTATAATACACATTTGTTGTATTTGAAGACTATTAACTTGAGGTTTTGCAAGACTATTAACTTAAGTACTGCCACACTAATCCATGAAAAGCAGTTGATTACAAAAAAGACTTTTATGAATAGAAAGGTTATACCTTTTCTTTCCATTAAGATGTTAGTTAAGATCTGAAAAACCCATCAGTTTAGTGAGCATTATGAAGCAATATCAATCTTATAAATCATTGTGAAATATTAGACCAGCAGGGAAATTTATCATTTAGTCTATCACAAAAGTTAGTGTGTCCTGAGAATGGTGCCACATCCCTATTGTGTACACAGATACTTCTCTTGATAAACACCAGGTTCTGTATCTTCTTAAATTAAAAAAAAAAAGTGCTGCCAGTTGTTGCATATAAAGAAACATATAGTCTTATGTTTAACCTGAATGGGAGTGGTTTGCATTTAAAAGAGAGGGATCTGGTAAAAAAAATATTTTTGCATCAGCTGTAATGTTTTCTAGCCACTGCGTCATAGACAGTCCCAGATGCTAGATCAAACATCCACAGATATATAATGGGGAGACAGAGTACTATAAAAACTAATGCAACAATATGTCCACCTTTATTTGCTCCCATGCCCTGTAGGTAACTGAACCTGTCATGAAACAAGCATTTAAGACAGAACTCAGCCTGTAGTTTTGATTGTTTTTGTTTATACTGCATCCATTCCCCCTCCCCCTTTCTCCATTTTGCAATATGTCAAATTTCACATGATAAATTCCTAAACAACAAACTTCTTCTCTGGAAAGTATGATAGGTATCAGTGGCATTGATACCTCTTCTTCTCTGGAAAGTATGATAGGTATCAGTAGCATTCTGTAAATGAATAAGCAACCATGATTTTTAAAAAATGTAATAATTAGACCTTGATAGTTCCAAATTTTGAACTAGTGCATTTAAATGGGGGTAGAATGAGTTGCCATCTCTGTTCCAGATGAGAAAGTACATGATATGAAGTGTAAGCAGTCATTGATATTATTGGTTGCTGGATATATAATTAATTTTATGGTTTCTGAAATATGTCAATTACACACAGAGACACAGTTGCAAACAACTGTAATTATTTTAGACATCTGTGACACTTGAAAAATTGAATTTCATTTACTCACTTTCTCTGTACAATTTAGTATATTGCTCTTATTCATGTCTACTCAGACATAAATTCCATCTCATGAACAATGATTCTGAGTGGCATACAATTAAAAAGTGTAACAACCAAATTAAAAACAAAGAAGAATTTAAGGGAAGGGATGTGGACAATACCCATCCTATCTGCTTTGAAAAGTGTTTGTTTGGAGAAAATATACAAACCATCCAGATTTATTCATCTATTCATCTGCATTGAATTGCCTGGCTAATAAATTGTTTTTCTTCATATGTTTGTGTAAATTGTTTGTTTGCTACTAATTGTATATCAATTTTTCATAATGAGTTTAAAAATTTGCAAAGGAGAAATAATGAAAAAATCACCTATAAATATTAGATAGGTATATCCAAGACTATTTCACATTCTTATAGTGAACTAAACTTTGTTGCCATTATTATGAAAATGGTGATAAAATTCTGAAAATAATCAGTTGGAATGTATCATCTGTGGTAAATAAGATTTTCCACTTTTCTAATGTGTCTGCAAACAGAAAACAGTCACAATGCTAAAATAGTCTTTTTTGCATTGCTGTTCTTCCACTTACATGATGTTCGTGGCATAAGGAAATATCTAGAAATATAAATCTCAGATTTGTTTTTGGATTTTTTTTTACCACTTCCTGACCATCATACAGGATTGCATGTGTAGACCAGGGAAAATTTCATTGCAATGTTCATCTGTTTATCTCTACAATTAGAATTCAGTGCTTTATTGTAAATACAATGAAAGATAAATATATTATGGTGTGTGTTTATGCTAATATTTTTTTTTCATATTTCTGAAGGCTGTGCTATAATGACAGGAATTTTCTTTTTCTTCCCCCACCCCCCAGTGAATGTTCCTTCAACTGTAATGGAAGCCATGTCAAGACAAGATACTCTCCAGCCATTTAGCAAAAGTAGCAAACCGCCCTCTGCCCCTCCACAGCGATCCATAGTCTTTCCACAGACTCCATGTAACAGGAATTTCTCTCTTCTGGATAAATCGGGTTCTCTCGAATCAGGATTTAACCAGATCAGTGTAAAAAACCAACGAGTCCTCGCAAGTCCAACATCAACAAGTCAATTAAATTCTGAGTTTAGTGACTGGCATCTTTGGAAATGTGGGCAATGCTTTAAGACTTTCACCCAGCGGATCCTCTTGCAAATGCATGTTTGTACACAGAACCCTGACAGGTAAAAACATGGACACTCTTTACTTCTGTATCTGCTTATATAGGCAACATTGCTTTTGTTTTATCAGGCTGACACTCTTTTCAGCAGTGGAGGGTTATTAGCAGGGAACCTGTGCAGTGCAATTCATCTGCTGCTATATGAAATATACAGATAATAGCTGTAGGTTAGTGTTATTATTTGTAAAAATATTGGGTACCTAAAGACACAGATAAGAGAAAATGGCTAAGAATATAATCTAGGTTTGGTACATCTCTTGGAAAGTGGAGGAGGGGGACAAAATAGAAGGAAAATATATGGATATACCAGATGGGAAAAAAGAGGTCAAGATAATTAAAAGTCATTCTATCTTTGAGAGATAATATAACTTGTGGCTCAGCAGCTGTCATAGCCATTTCAGGGTTCACCTATAGTGTGCAATGTGTATGAACTTAATTAAGTACTAAGGGGTAATGAATTGGAATTTTTTGCTTAGCACTATTTTTCTTCAGAGCATGCAAAGTCATAAATCGTGCAAAGCTGTCAAAAGGAAATACCTACTCCACTAGTGATGTGGAGGAAAACAGATGCCATTTATTCAATAAACTAATATCCACACCGAAGAAAAATGTTGACTAGATACCTCAGAGTCAAAGTTGGTTGAAAGTTTGTCAATACAGAATTTTATGGCCATGAACTGACGATGAAATTTAGCTGAACAAGTGAATTAAAATTTCAGGTACTCTGACCAGTGGCCCGGTAGAGATAATGGAACTATTATTTATGAATCAAATCTGCTTTATTTGACAATCTTGATAGCTGGCAGCACAAAAGGCAAAAATCAAATTAACCCAATAAAAATATTGTTTGGGATTTTGTTGTTCCTTTAGTGACAAAGAGGTGCTTTAACAAAAATGATTGAATGTCCTGGAACAATCATTTGAGAAACAATCCACAAATATTGTTCTTATGCTACTTCAGTGGTGAAAAGGAGCCTTAGCAGATTAGAGAGAAGTTTTGAAAGCTGATGTGCCATTTTATTAAACATTAATGTTTTCATTGCTGAGTATAAATCTTTTATCATTTTATCATTAAAATACATTAATCAGGCCTACTACTATAGAACATCAGGTTTTTTTTCAGTAAATCTTCTATATGGGTTTTGCATGAGAACAAAATAATACATTTATTAAGGGAACAAAAGACCTTTTTAATATTGCTTGAAAATTTCCAAAGGAATTTCAATTATTCAACCAGAGATCTAAATATGAATGGATGCATAGATCTCTCAATTTTTTTTGTTCATTTCAATAAAGTGAATAGATTGCATGGGGAAATATGTATTTAATGGTAATTTCTCCACTAAAGTACATTAGCTAATTTTCCAAAATATTTATGCATGTACTGTAGTGTACATCAAATATTCTGTGCCTGCAAGAAATCAGATCTTTGGATTAAAGTCAATTTCATATTACTATTTTCACTGCATTAAAATGTGGAAAACATTGAGCCATAATTAAAGAATCTACAATAACAATTTTGAGGATTTAAAAACCAAGATAGAATGCCATTTTTTTTTCAAATTCAAGTGTCCATTGCCTTCCAAAATTAATTTATTTGCACACTTAATCATACTAAATTATAATAATGTTCCTAAGCATGCACCAACCTATCGCTGAATCTTAACTGTAATCTTGTACTAATGCTGAAGTAAGTCTTCAAACAGCAGCCATGTAGGTTGTTTGGCTCTAAGATTAGGCATAGTCTGAAGTGAGATGAAGGAAGAGTTTTTTCATCATCTTTTACAAAAGAACAATGTTTGAATTTATCTGGAGATTCTGCATGTATTAAGGAGATAGAAAAAAACATGGAAATTCATTGGTACCTCTGCTTGTTAGTAGTAATGGAAATCTACACCAGTTATTTTTAGTTCTGGTACTCATACAACTTATATATTCTGGGGCCTTTTTCAGATATTACAATAAGAAAGTGGTTAGGAAATGTAAGATATGAATAGTCCAAAGTATGCAGGGGTAGTAGAAAGTACATCTTTCAATCAATAGCCAGGAACAATAGCAGTGAGTATGTGTACTTTTTTCAGTTTTCCAAAGGTGTATATTAAGATTAGCAAGCTAATTTTTTCTCACCAAATAATGATAATTGTATTTGTGAGAATATTGTGCTTGCACTTTTTGTCAATGTTTTTGTAGTTGAGTAAAGCAATTATATAAAGCGTGACTCATAGTCAATATCACTATAGTGTCATTGTTCACCTGAGAAAATGTAGATTGGAATACAGTTCTTGAAACTTTTCACTGCCAACAGATCTACATTGAGCTAAAATAAGTGTTCTTGAAGGTGAAAGTTTGCTTCCTCTCATCTTATGCACTCCCAGCTGCTTGGGGGAAGGGTTAACTCACTAGTAGAAAAAGGCTCTAACAGCAATTCATGAGATTAGGGCAGTGATGGTGAACCTTTAAGAGACTGAGTGCCCAAACTGCAACCCAAAACCTACTTATGCATTGTCAAGTGCCGGGTGGGTGTGGCCCATTAGCTGGGTGTGGCCCATTGGCTGGGTGTGGCCCATTGGGTGGGCGTGGCTGCGGTGATAACGGCAGGCTGGGTGGGACTAAAAAGTTCAATCAATCAATTCCAACTTTGCAAGATCTTTTTTTTCCTGCAAGAAGTTGAAATTGACTGATTGAACCTTTTTTTTTTTTTTTGCACATGGTGGCGAAGGCCTAAAGTGAAAAGGTTTTATAAAACCCAGCTGAAGGCCTAGGACTGGGGCGATGGTGCGCATGCCCACAGAGAGGGCTTTGAGTGCCGCCTCTGGCACCCGTGCCATAGGTTCGCCACCACTGGATTAGGGGAAAACTTTTCTTTAAACATTTACTCTACACAAGACAGAACTGGATAAAATCTCATTATAAGCAGCTTTCTGGGCTTGCTTTCTGGACACAAAAACTGGATGTAATATTAAAATTGTTCTACAAGAGTAGAGTTTGTCTGTTGAGAGTAGAGACAGCTAGGGGAATAAGGACATCTTGGAAATTGAGATTATCACACTTTTATATCAAAAGAATAGAGACAATCCTTAAATCTTTCTTAAGAAACAATGGGCTTTGGTCAACTATTCTTCTATCTTGTAATATATGAGAAGAATTTCATTTTTTTGCATTTCCTATATATACAGTCTAAACATTTTTTCCCTCTGCATTACTTAAGAACTAATTTATAGATTTGCTGGAAAATTATTTGTGGATTCAGTGTAAAATATCTTGTAATAGATGAAGTGAATAAGGTTTTCCTATCAAGGTTATAGATGTTATGCAGTGCAGAATATTGGAGTCAGATTTGGGGACAATCAAGGAATTTCCCCAGTGCATGTATTTACAATTCTAGGCGAGCACTTGTAATTCTTGTAATATGTATATTAACACTGTCACCATGTATGATTAATAATGTAATTAGCATTTAATGATATGTAATTATTAGGCCCATACGAAGCACACAGCTTCACTTCGAGCAAAGTGATTCACTGCATGGAGATAAAGAGGACACCTTCTTCATTTTAATAAAGCCTTTTATGCAGCCTTCAACACTGGGCTAATATTGTGAGAAAAGACTTCTCTTGGACTTCTGGCCCAACACTATCAAAGTGCTTAGGGCATAGGAAGCTTAAGAATCCTCTCATGTCTAGCCTGAAAGACCTTCAGGACATGTTGGTAGGGTTTAAACCTCTGACTTGCACTGTGGATTTGTGCACTGTCAAACCTAATTTAGTATAGAAGCACATCAACTGAGCTCTGCAGAAAAAGTCTGAAAAGAGGTTCCAGAGTAGAGTGAGGTAAAGCACTACTGTCACTTTGCTCTTATAAATGTGATGATTTTGCTTTGCAAAACAGTAGGACCTCATGCTTTGTTCCAAGTTGCACTGAAGCAAAATGCTTCATAGAAACCATTGTTCAAATCACTCAAAGGATAGTCACTGTTGCGATTATTACTAAAGAGTGGAATATGAACCTTGTGTAACTGTTCTTAAATCACCAATAAAAGGACTTTCTAGTCATGTTCTCCAAGGCAGAGAGTCTAGAACACCAGAACAGATTAAAAATCCACCTGCTTTGAGAGGAACACCCTTGACCCGCCAGTGCTTTGACCCATCCCTTTCACCATTGTTTCTGAACAGGAGTATGATAGACCTTTTTCTATTTCTCAACGGTAGCAAAAATAGGTTTGCAGATGCAGTCGGTTCCTCTTAAGTCATGCCTGGTTATTCACTAACGTGCACTGGTTTATGGATATTATGGCTGGTTGCTCAAGTAGATTTGACAGTAAAAAAAACTGTGAGTGATTTGTGCCAAGAATAGAGACATTCAGTGCCTGTAGCATGATTATAGTGGCAGAGTGCAAATGCCTTTCTACATAAAGAATACATGGCATTTCAAAAGGGAGAGGAGTTATTTTGCAGATACCTTTTATTTCCACTGAAAGAGAAGAAATATATTCATCAAATGCATGGTGTTTTGACCTGTTTTCAGTAGTAATAATAGTAGTATAATATAGTACAGCATTAGTATAGTAGTAACTTTTAATTATCTCATTTGCAATATATATTGTATGAATATTTTTATTTGGATTTTCTATTCCCGTTTTAGACAATAAGTATATATTTTAATTTAAACCCAATATTTTTTCTTTTAATTAGAAAAAAATTAAGAAATCATCTTACTATGGTTTACTATGATTGATTATTTCTAGTTCAAATAATTGACTTGTTTCCAAGATACAATTACACATCTTGTGCTGTTTCTAATAGCTCTTCTATAGGGCAATACAACAGCCTTCCCCAACTCTGCAGCCAATCCCTTTTAATAATAATGCAGTAAAAGGGTCTTTATGATATAGTTTGAATTCTGTAAAAAGTATTATGTGCAAAATTAATGGCATTATTTTTTCAGAGTAATAATATGAGAACAATGTATAATGTTTATTTATATTAATTAATAATTGATTAATCA